AGTTCTAGATCTGCTGAACACAGGTGGGCACTGTGCACAGCACTGGAATAATGCCCTCCAGCCACACACAAAGGTCCCGCGGAAAGCAAATCCCCTCCAACGGCTTGTCACGATTTCCAAGACACCCTCCTTACATGCGGCTGCTCCCATGATGCCACTGGGTGACCTCAGAGACAAAAAGAAGACGCCTCCGAGCCCCAGAATAACAGCTCCCTCCTTCGGCAGCCTGTCCCCTCTGACGACCTGCTGTACTGGGTCTCCTGCTGGGGGGCAGGTTTAAGGATGACATGACTGGTATTTAGCTGCTCCACTGGCTTCCTCTTTCTTCAAGACAGAAGCACAAGGAGTTTTTTCTGAAGCACTGGATCCCCTGAGTGCCGAGAGAACAGACCAACCACAGGAAGCAGTTGTACAGTCTAAGCTCCATTCGGCAGTAATTCCCCGAGCTGCCTTTTTGAGAAATTGTTATATTTCAACAGGAATTGGAAGGAGAACACACAAAATATTAAAAGGGCACTTTCTGCGTCTGGAAACAGCACATCAAGGGCAGCTTTCTTTTATGCAATGTTATCACCTGGGCTGCAGTGGCCTCCCTGTACACAGGCTCTCTGGCAAATGAGCCGGATCCACGGGCAGCACTGAAAATTCACAGGGGTGAGACAAGTCGGACCCAGGACAGGTGAGATCCAAGCAAGGAGATGGATTTCACAGCTCCACAAGGGATCCTCAGGTTGTGTAACTTCAAACTGTTGAAAAAGAACCCCAAAACACAACACCATAAGGCAGAAAGGCCCACGTTCCCTACCTCCTATTAAGAATAAGAAGAAGGCAATTTGCATGTTGGCTTTGCATTTGTAAGAGGAAAGAAAACCCAGAACTTGAAGGATAGATATAAGGAGTGGGTCCAGGAAAACATTACAGGTTGAAAAAAAAATAAAAAGGCATGTCCTGTGTCCCAGATGCATTGAGCCCAGCTCAATGATGGAGATGTGGGCCACAGGGTATACCAGGTGCCAGTTAACTAGAATTCAATTCTTTCCTAAAACCTCACAAAAGTACACAGACTCCCACCCCACCCTCCTCCACATGCAGACTAGAATCTGAGTTCCATGAGTACAGAAGTTGTTTTTTTGTCTGTCTTGTTCACTGATAAATTCCAAGTATCAAGAATAGTGCCTGGCATGTAGTAGGCACTAAATAAGTATTTGTGGAAGGAAGGAAGGAAGGAAGGAAGGAAGGAAGGAAGGAAGGAAGGAAGGAAGAAAGGAGGGAGGGAGGGAGGGAGGGAGGGGGGAGATTCGGTGCTTGGGTGTACCTCCTACAGGAGAAATAGAGCAGGTGTTCAATAAACAATGGCTATTGTTGATATAATTAGTATTTGTTTCCGGGGGTTAAATACAAAAACTTAGGCAACACTGGTAGTTAGTTGTGCTGGGGATCTCAATATGAAGGGTTTCAAAAATTGTTGTTAATTAAGGTACAACAACATGCAAGGAAATAAACAGATCCTGGGTAAAAGTCTGATGCACTTTGACAAATGTCAAGATAGAGAACAATGCCGTAACTTGAGAAAGCTCCCTATGCCCCTCCTCCACAAAAGCAACCACCATTCCTGTTTCTAACCCCATAGACTGGTTTTGCCTCTTATTGAACTTTACATAGATGGAATTATATAGTATATTTCTCTGTGTCTGCCTTCTTTTGTTCAACATAATGCTTGGCAATTCATGCATGTTGTAAGTATTACCAGTTCATTCCTTATTAATGAGTAGCATTCCATTTTGTGAATATACCATAATTTATTTATCCATTCTTGTTGCTGCACATTGGCATTCCTTCTGATGTTCTATTATGAAGAAATCAAGTTGCAATGAACATTCTTATACAAATATTACTTTGGGGGTATATGCTTATATTTATTTACAGTAAATACCTAGGAGTGGAATTACTAGGTTGTAAGGTTTGCATATGTTTAGTTTTGTAAGAAACTGGCAAACACTTTTCCACAGTGATTGCAATTTTGCATTGTGATCAGCCATATTTAAGAGATTCAGTTGCTCCATATCCTTGTCAACACTTGGTATTGTCAGTCTTTCATTTTAGCCATTCAGTGGGTATGAAGTGAAATATCATTCTGGTCTTAGTTTGCATGTCTCTGATGATCGACAATGTTAAGCATGTTTTCATTTACTTACTGGCCATTTGAGTAATATCTTTTGTGAAGTGTCTAACTTAATTTCACACTTCTGTGTTATTTTTCTTTTTTATTATTGATTCATAGGAGTTCTTTGTGTGTATATGTGTGTGTGTGTGTGTGTGTGTGTATGTGTATGTACATGAATAAAACCATAGTTAATATTCTTTTCCCAGTCTGTGGCTTGCCTTTTCATTTTCTAACCGTGTTGGTACATGAGCAAAATTTAAAAATTTTTAAATTTTGGTGGAGTCCAGTTTATTATTTTTACTATATGCTTAATGCCTTTTGCATTCTACTTTCTCAGATCACAGCAATACCCTCCTAAATTTTCTTCTGGGAACTTGACAGTTTTAACTTACATTTAAGTTGGAAATTTATGTTAAGTAATTTTTATGTATGATGTGAACTATAGGTTAAGGTATTTTTTTTCTATATGGATATCTGGTTGATCCAGCAACATTTATTAAAAGGACTTTCTTTTCCCTCACTGTCATAATTATTCATCACAAATCACTTGAATGTATGTTTATAGATCTATTTTCATCACTTTATCACTATGCAAAATGTTACTTATAGGGCTTTCATAGATAACCTTTATCAGATTGAGAAATCTCCCTCTTTACCATGAATGGGTATATTAGATTTCATCAAATGCTTTTTTGGCATCTGTTGAGAAGACCATGCAATTTATTCATTTATTATATTAACACGGTAAGTTAGACTGATTTTTTTGAACATTAACCAGTTCATAAGATAAACATCCTTTATCCATGATATATTATTCTTTTTTAATATATTGCTGGGTTCTGATTACTACTATATTGAAACATTACATAGAGTGGTGTCATTTCTTTTTAAAATGTCTCATGGAATTCACAGTGAAGCCATCTAGGTCAGGAGTTTTTCTTGTTTTTGAAATGGGAAAGATTTTAGTTATGAGTTCAATTTCTTAGCAAGTTTAGAGCTTAGAAACTTAGGGAATTCAGACAGTCTATTTCTTTTTATGTCAGTTTTGGAAATTGGTGGGTGTTTGTTTTTTTTTTTCCAAAAAAACTTTGCCCATTTTATCTACATTGTGGAATTTGTTGGCATACATTATTCCCAATTTTTTGATCGTTTTAATGTCTACAGGATCTATAATGTCTGTGTTAATATTCCCTCTTACATTTTTAGTACTGATTATTAGTATTTGTGTTTTCTATGTTTTGTGTGATCACTCTTGCTAGAAATTACGAGTTTCATTAACCTTTTCAAAGAACTAGCTTTTGGCTTTGTTGATTTTTCTCTATATTTGTATTTGACTTTGATTTTTACTCTTATATTTATTGTTTTCTTCCTTCTACTTCATTTGGGTTCCCTTTGCTCTTTTCCTAGCTTCTTAATGTAGAAGCTTCAATCACTGACTTTACACTTCCCTTATTTTTTCTATTTATAAGCTGTCACAGCTATGAATTTCCCCCTTAACACATCTTCAATTTTATTCTTCAAATTTTGACATGCTGTGTTTTTCAAGGTCATTTCATTCAAAATATTTTCTTATGTCTTTTTTTCTTTGACCCGTGGGCTATTCACAGGCTGGACCTAATTTCCAAACATCTGGTGATCCTGTAGATATACTTTTATTATTAACTTTTGTTTTAACACTGTGTGGTCAAAGAAAGCATTCTGCATTATTTCAATCCTTTTAGATATATCGAGACTTGTTTTATGCTTGAGAACACAGTCTACTTTGGTGAGTTCCCTAAGTGCACTTGAAGAAAAGTTTCTTTTGTAGCTGTGGGGTGTAGCAGGCAAAATCTTCCAAAGCTTTCTCTTCATCTTCCCTTCTAGGAATGCATCATTGATCGTCCAGAGTCAATGCATCTGTTTGCACAGAACTTTTTTCTGATGCTAGTTAATTATAGGACGGTTCCTCACCACATCCTGCATCTTCCTACCCCTAGGATCTCTCAAGCCCATCTGATGTGCAAAGTGAAAAGAAATCTCAAGCTGCTGAAGCAATTTAGAAGCCATGCCTTGCTTGTCAAAAAAGACAAGATAAAGACACAGGCTTCCGTTTGATCTCTTTTATTCTGCTCTTTATGTGATAGTATGGCCACTGACTTGGAACTTGATGGGAGAGTGGGAAAGTGGGACAGATACTGTCATCGTTCTCATGGCGTCATCTGTAAATCCTATGACATCTCCCCTCTCTGACTCAGGACACGGCCTTGGGTAAGACGTGTGATGATTTTTTTTTCCCTGCAGTGGTGTTTTTCATTTTTTAATAGTTAATATACATATTCTATAAAATGTGCTTTACAAGAAATATAATCAACCTGTGATTTGTAGAAGTGACATGCTTAAGTTTCGGAAATGGGTTGATTTAAAGTAAAAGACTACAGAGATGAAAATACAGGGGTTCCTCCATATGGCAAAATGTGTAATTATGGTACATAATATGGGGTTTAGGCAGACTCGTGTGATCACTGCTCTGTAGCAAACGTGTACTATTGTACCAACATGAACCAAACTTTAGTCTTTACATTATTTATCCTAAGTCCTTCAAGGACCCTTCCTAATGAGATGTGAGAAGCTGACACACAGAACAGCACACGATCACCACAGTTTACCCAGGAAAAGCATTCCGCCTGCACCTTATGATATTTGGTCTGCCTTGTTCCAAGAAACATCTGGTCCTGGTCATGGGATGGGATCTGGAGCCGCTCAGCAGAAAACATGTGAGGAAAAGGAGTAAGCTGAGCCCCTCTGTGGCCCCTGCTTTCATCCTTCCCCGATACGCGGCATGCCGAAGGATGCTCACCTTTTCCCATTCTCTGTCCTTGTTCAGCACAATCACCACCAGCCTGGGGTGCACCTGATAGCCTTCCTCAGTGAAGGACAAGTCTTTGCCATCCCATGTCACGTTGACCATAAATCTAGAGAGAGGAAGAGAGAAAGACATGTTTTTAAGGAAGAATTCAAGAGGTCAGATGAGCGGATGCCACCATCAACATAACACTCAGAAAGTGAAGACTTATGTGGCTATCATCACGTACGACAGGTGGCCTCTATCCAAGGAAGTATTAGTACCCGCGTGGGCACTGCTAATTGGCCAGGCACTCGTTTCCATGAACCTGTAATCACTCTCAGAATCCCCAATCCTGTTTAGGCATTAGTAATTGTAATTAGCACATGGGATGGACCCTTCCATCCTGCCATGCCCATAGACTTCTGTTCAAATGATAGTACAGGAGGGTCTAAAAGCATGTTCTATTATGTTTTAATAAGCTTCCCTAAAGGAAGCTGCTTGTTCATAAACCACATGGTATACAGCTTCCAAGAAATAGTATCCCATCTGTTCATTACTCATTCTACTAATACTTATCAGGTATTTGCTACAGGCCAGGACGCAGCCACTTGGATGAAGATAAGTAAGGAAACAGATAGGATCCCTCTCCCCATGAAGCTTAGAGTCTAAAGGACAGGACAGGCATTAATTAATTACAGATCTATGACAAGTGATATAGTAGAGAGGTGAGTGTGCCATGTGGAAGTGAAACAGGGGTCAGGCAAGGCTATAAGGAGTCAGTATTAACTAGGTTAAAAAAAAAAAGGACATAAGCATATTCCAGGCAAAGGGCAGCAGCAAGTGCAAAGGCCTAGTACTGGTACACATGAGGGATTGACTGGGAGCGAGATCAAACCAGAGACCAGCGAGACCAAAGCAGACAGAGAGACAGAAGAACGTGGTCTGTGGTTTGGCTGAGAAGATGAATCGGTGAGATACAGCAAGACTTTTCAGGCCATGTTAAAGACTTTTGTTTTTGTTTTAAAACAGTAGGAAGATACTGAAGGTTTTAATCAAGGAGGTGGTAAATCGGACTTTTCTTGTATAATATGAGTTGAATGTTGTGTACAGAATGAGTTGGAGGGGACATAGGGGGTTGGTTACATTGTGCTTATTATCCAGGTCAGAGAGGATGTTGGCCTGGGAACTGTTGTGGCCCCAAAAGAAAGGGAGGAGAAGGAGAAATACCAGCTGCCACAAATAGGACCAAGTGGAGAATATTTAGCAGGTGTTTAGTGATGTGGAGGTTGGGGGAGAGAGAGGCATCAAGGACAACACCTCGCCTCACCATCCGCCTTATATAACATCCGTATGGTCAACCCTTAGCCTAGGTGTTTTCATTGCACAACATCTGTCTTCCTTATGATACTCTTATCTCTAGCACCCCTCAAAGCCACCTTGCCTGTAGGCAAGGTGGATGCAGACAGGGAGGGAGGGAGGCAGAGGTCAACTCCCATGATTCAGGTGGGAGGGTCCCCGGGATTCCACTTCTCCTTGCAGCTTAAGAAAAAGGTGAAGCTGTCAGACTTGCATGGGAACATACCACCTGGCAGATACTCAGTTAATGTAGTATGGTGGGTTGAAATATTCAGAGATCCCAGACAGACAGACAGGCTATCTCAAGGCCATGGCATTTTCTTGCTTCACATTCCCTTAACACCAAAAGCAGCTAAAGAAGTAAAATATTAAGGAGGAGAAATAGACTATGAAAAAAATTCTAAAACCAGGGACTGTCCTAACTGGTCACATGTCTGCCCCTGGGCAGCCATAGTGGATACTGTGTTGTGAGGAGGAAGAATCAGGTCTCCAAGGACAAGGTGAAGAAACTGGGGAAAAGGCAAAAAAGCAAATATTGTGTATCCATTCAATGAACTATTTGTTTTTTTTTCTAAATCGTGTTTTGATGACAAGTTAAGGGTGAAGAGAAAATGCTCACTATTTAATGTTAAACAGAAGAGAACAAAAATAGGGTTTGTCTATGCACAGAGGGATTGCAGGTACCTTTTATTTGTGTGTGTGTGTGTCTTTTTGTTCTCCAAGTTTCTTGCAAATAGTGTTTGTTAAAAAACAGAAAAATAAAGCACTGCGATTCTAGAAGGAGCAAAGAGTAATCACTCTATTTGGTGTGCATGCAAGGTATCTGTGATCATTTCCTCATAGGTATTTTGTTGATTCAACAACTATTTACTGAATGTCTATTATATGTCAGACCCTATGGGGAGTCTTCTAGATACAGGAATAAAAACCGCAGTGGCTGTCCGCCCTCCTACAGGTATCTTTACCGCTCAGTGACACAGGCACATAAACAATGACAGCACGCAGAACACCACTCATGCACAAATGCACAGTGAGTGGGAGATGTAAGAATGCCGAGGAAGGCCCCTCACTCAACCTAAGGGATACAGGTGGCACTTCCTGGGGAATCTAGGAGAGTAAAAGGGTTAAGAAGAGGTGGGAGAAAAGAGTTCTGAGCCAAAGAATCACCCTGAGTAAAGAAGAGTCAGCAAAGGCAGTGACACATGCTAGGGAAAGCAGGGAATAGCTTAGTAAGCTGAGGGGCAGTGGGATTTGTCTGAAGAGAATCCCTGAAGCCAGATCGTAAACGACTTTGAATACTGCCCTAAAGGGTTTGGATGTTGTTCAGAAGACCATGGAGATCCATGAAAGGTTTTAAGTAAAGCAGTCATGCAGTCGGATGTGCTGCCAAGAGAAGAAGTAAAAATGCTTCTCTGCATTGAAGGACAACTCCAACATTTTTGTTTATGTCTAAAAACCTCTCACTAACTAGGGGGACCTAAATTACTCTGTTTGTATTTTTCCAGTTTGACTTTTGCTTTTGTTCCCCATGATTAATTTTAGTTGTGGCCCATTGTAGCATTGGAGTTTATGTCTGGTGGTTGAGTATGTTGACAGATCATCACCACAAGTGTCATCCATCCGTGTATACATCCATCCATCCATCCATTCATCCGTCCATCAGTCCATCCATCCTTGTATCCATCCATCCATCTATCCATCCATCCATCCATCCATCCATCCATCCATCCATCCATCATTCTGTCAATCTGCCCATCCATGCATCTATCCATCCATCCATCCATCAATCCATTCATCTATCTGTCCATCCGTCAGTCCATCCATCCTTATATCATCTGTCCATCCGTCCATCCATCCATCCATTATTCTGTAAATCTACCCATCCATGCATCTATCCATCCATCCATTTATCCATTCATCCATCCGTCTGTCCATCCATCCGTCAATACACCCATCCATGCATCTATCCATCAATCCATTCATCCTTCCATCCATCCATCCTTTTACCGTCCATCTGTCCATCCATCCATCATTCTGTCAATCCACCCATCCATGAATCTATCCATCCATCCATCCGTCAGTCCATCAGTCCATCCATCCTTGTATCATCTGTCCGCCAATCCATCCATCCATCCATCCATCCATCCATCCGTCAATCCACCCATCCATGCATCTATCCATCCTTCCATCCATGCATCTGTCAGTCCATCCTTGTATCCATCCATCCACCCATCATTCTGTCAATCCACCTACCCATGCATATATCCATCCATCCATCCACCCACCTACCCACCCGTGTATCTATCCATCCATCCATCCACCCACCCACCCATCCACTCATCCATCTGTCCGCCCATCCATCTGTCCATCCATCCATCCATCCATCCATCCATCCATCCATCCATCCATCCATGTATTGATCCATTCACCCAACCCACCCATCCAACCTATAGACATATTTGAGTACCTACTATGTGTCATGACCTGTGCCAAGAGATGTGATAGGAAAAATGATACAAAAGTAAACAAATACATTCCTGCAATAAATAATTGGAATAAAGACAGTAAGGATGAAATTAGAGATTTGTATTAAGTAGGCTGGTGAAGAGCGTAAGGAATAGAATGGCTCTGCTCTGATGGCAGAGGTGGAATCAGGAAACAAAGTGGAAACGTTTGGATTGTGTCAGGAAGGGATAATAAGGGCTGGCTAGGTGAATGGCCAGGGGAAAGGGGTGGTGATGCGCTGCATGGAGGAAGCCATAAAGCCAACGGCATAGAACCATGGAACAGGATGGAACGCTATTCATGGAATTTCAATATAAATAATGCAGACAAAGACCACCAGTGAGTAGAAGCTAGTATGAAATCAGTTGCCAAGTCACTCTGTATTTGCTACCCAAAACTTAGGGTTAGGCCAGCCAATTCACTAAGGTCTTTTATTTATTATCACTGTTGTTGTTGTTGAATCAAATTAGCTACCAAGCCAGGTTTCAATTTGTCCAACCCTTTGGGATGGAAAGAGCTCAGGATGGATCTATCTAATAATGGCCCAAATGTGGATGAACTGAAAATTTCAGTCAATTATCAAGAGGTTTAGAAATATCCAGTTTGTTATCTTTTTGGAAAAGGCAGACCAGAGAGCAAATGCTTTGGCTCTGACATAGACATGAGGCCCGGGAGGGCCGCTCACAGCATTACGTATCACGACTGAACACCACAGTCGCTGTTTTATCCACGGAGCTGGCGTGTACCACGGAGTATCCATATCTTCTTTTGATATGCCAGCTGAATTTACTTAAGCCTCCCTCCTCTTTGATTCCCCATCATTATTTCTTCCACCCATTCCTCTTCTCCCCTCTTGTAGTGAGATAAGATGGAATGATCAGGGTGATTATTTCGATGTGATGGCTCTTCTTCAGGTTACATGGAAACAACTATATGGACGTTCTCACACTCCCTCATTTTCTGTGTTCCTTTAAGATTTAATATTCTGGACCAATGAGTCTGTATACTCAATGTTAATATAGGTTCTTTACTTTTTCCTTTTTTTAAATTTTATTAACAGTCTTCAATCCCTTGTGTGTGTGTGGTTGGGCGGGGGGAACCTCTACCAAAATTTTTTGTTAAATGGTAATTTCATTATGAAGTTGGCAGGATGCAAACACCTATTACCTTCAATTCCCCCATCCAATTTCTAGGAAGGAGAATCCATATTTTCTCAGGCTTTCTTCCCATTTAAACCAGCTCCAGAGCAAAATCCTTTACCTAGGG